ATTGTTGTTGACAGGAAGTCCTCGATTTTGAAATTGCCCTGCCTTCCGCAACACCACTACTGACTACCATCATCCTTTGTGTGCTAGGGCTGTGTTCATTATGACACAATGCGCTAATGATGTAGGGACAAGCCGTGAATCAAATATTTGTCTTTTCTTTTTCTCAGTAAAAGTAAAAGATAATTTGGTGATGCCCTATCTGTGGCATGTGTGGCCTCTGTAAGTTGTTTATTGCCATGTATACAGTGGAATCCACTTTAAACCGAACACAGTTAATTTGAAAACTGGTGTATCTGAAAGAAAAGAAAATCCAGAGGGTTTTCTTATGTTTTGGGACTTTTTGTTTGTGGGGTTTTTTTTTCGGTTTGAGAAACCTTTCTAAACCGAAAACCCGGCTGAACTGAAGAAGATTTGTCGGTCCCGCAGATTTCAGTGTAAGGGTATTCCATTAGTTTAAAATTTCCTACTGCTTGCGTCATCAACAGAGCGAAAATAATGTTGATCGTGAGTACAGCCAGTGTGCTGGTTGGATGTATGGAGCAGTGGAGGAGGAAGCGAGAGAAGTTGGTGGGGGGTGTGTTCAGGCTACAGCATTAAGAAGAAAAATCTCAACCCTTTATGTATGTATAAGTAACTCGGTGACATGCTGTTGAGTTCCAGCTGTCGGTAAATCTCTCGAGTTTTCGTGGTTTTGAGGGAGTTTTTTTTGTTGTTGTGGTTTTTGTTTTGTTTTGTGTTTTGGGGTTTTTTTTTGGTAAGACAGTGCACCGTTTATCAGATACATGATACTTGCATGTCTTGTTTTGGGGTTCGGTGTGACGAGTTCCAGAAGTCTTCTTACTAGGCCGAGGTGGTTCTCGTGGTACCCGTGTACAAGTATTAACAATGGTCAACCTCTCTATATTATTATCCTATCATTGTTGACTTCTCTTTTATCACCATGTTGCCAGATAACTTGTTGTAAGCTTTTGTGTTCTAGCAAATAATTGAATCTTTGTCTTTTTTAACAATGACTTTTTGTGCATGTGGCGTGTGTGTGTGTGTGTATGTTGTGTGTGTATGTGTGCGTTGTTCCATGTTTGTTTTTTTTTGGTTCCAGTTAAGCGTGCGTCGGTATTTACGCAGTTTTCATGAAAGGTGTGGCTAATCTTCTGGCGCTTATATGACCTTATGCAGTTGCGAGCGCCGTAAAACCTCTACTAAAACTAAAGCAGTCCTCATGAAAGGTATGGCAAGAAGATAGCTGTATGGCCACGGTCATGTGGTCGATTGTATATTGTATATGTCCCCAGTAATGTGTGAGTATGTGGCTCGTGGACATGGCTGTTTGTTTAGTGGGTTTCTATGGAAACGAAAAGGACAGCGACGTGTGTTCACGAGAGGTAGGACTGACCGTATCACCCAGCCTACGTTCAGTGTATAGATGTGAGGCATGTTGGAGAGGCAAGGGTTGAGTTGAATGATGCCCATCCTTGGTCTTTTTCTCCCTTTTTTATATTTTTTTAAATTTGAAATGATTGATTGATTGACAGCAAAAGATCTTGTCGGCATGCTCGTGGTTTAGCGCCTGAAAAAATGGCAGCCTGCACACTGTATGCTTCAGAGAAAGTTAAGATGGTTTCTGAGCGTTCTGGGGTGATAATAATAGTTGTGCAACGCTCAGAGTTTGTTTCTGAAAGGAGTAGAGCTCTATAGAAATACTATCTAATATCATTATTATTATTATTATTATTGTTATTTTAGATTATTTTTATAATGATTATTATTTTAGTATTATTATTACTGTAGTACAAGTACAGAGTGTGCCCAGAAATTGGGGCATGGTTTTTTTGTTTTTTTTAAGAATGTGGGACGGAGACGGTGTCTGCTCTGCGTGTAGCTCTCACTGCCCGTGTTGTTGTACTATATATAGAAGCACGTCACGCAGGGTCCGTCAGCCGGGAGAAACAAGATTGTTGTTCCCCCTTGGTCTGCGGTGGCTTCCTGCTGAGTGATGTTGTGCGCCGTCTTGTAATTAGAACTTGCAATAATCAGCTGTTGGTGGCAAAGAGTTTGTTTGTTGTAAATTGATTGATGGAAAAAAAATATATATAATATGATGTATACTTACTTGCAACCTGTGGTGACTTGCTTTTTTCTTTTTTTCTTTGTTTTTTGTTGGGGTTTTTTTAGTCTTCTTTTTTTTTTTTTCTTTCTCTTATTTGTGTTATAATTGGTTCTTGTCTAACGTCTGCCTACGTTCTGGTGGTTTTTGCTATTTGTACGTACGTACGTACGTACGTTTTTATTGTCAAAAAAGAAAAGTTTTGCTCAAAGCTGAGTGAATGGCATATGTTTTGTTTGTTTTTTTTGTTATTTTGTTTGGGTTTGGTTTTGTTTTTTGCCACGGCAAATTCTGAGTAAAATTGTGGTCAAGAAGAGAGAGAGAGACAGAGAGAGAGACAGAGAGAGAGGGAGAGAGAGCTGACAGAGGGTCAGTAATTTCTCTAACTTATGATGCGTTGGTGCCTGCCACATTTCAGTGCATGTAGAGGCATTTCATTTAGTACGCGTGTCGGTCATTTTGTGTGGTCTGTTTGGATGTGTCGGTTCTCCGAAAGGAAGTGTGTTCGTTTTAGTTTTACTGATAATTGTGTCACTGTTCTTTTGTATCTTTCTCGGCTCGCTGCTGCCAGGATGAGGGAGAGAGAGTCTACATTCCATTAGTTTGTTTGTGTACTTCAGGTGCGTTTTTTTTTTTTTTTTTTGCCCTCGCTCGTTGGGCTTTTTGCATTTCAAAGACATCTGTTTGGTGGTAATTGTAATGTATATTTGTCATTGGTGTTCATCTTTCTTATTGAAGATGGGAAAATCTACTTCTTTTTACACCGCCTCGAAAAACGTTTCCAAGGAATGATTGTACTTAATTTTCGTTTTTCGTTTACATCTCTGTTTGTTTTAGTTCTTTTATTCTTTCTTTCTTTTTCTTTCTTTCTTTCTTTCTTTCTTTCCATTTTGCGTTGTGGTCTGGATGTCCCATTTAAATGATTGTATCTGTCTTTGCTACAATGCTGTTTTGCAGATGTGAGAAGTTCAGAGGGACCGTTGCTCTAAATTAGATGTCTTTCTCGTCTCACTTATCTCGGGTGGTGGATAGGGGCTGGGGTGTGGTCTGCTCCGTTTGTTTCTTACGACGGTGTTACGGTTTACCTCATCTGTTTCTGGTGAAATGTGACCGTACGGACGGTATTGGTACAGGCTTGCTGTAAAGTGCGTATTACTTGACTGAACAATGTGTGGTTTTGACACAACGGAAAATCTTGTCAGGTGTAAGATGAGAGTAATTGAGGTTTTTAAAAAAATTAAATCGGGGGGGGGGGGGGGGGGG